TTCGATACATTTTATTGAAACGTCAGCGGAATCACTTGGATATGTTCCTTTGTTAGATTAAAAATAGGTTATCAATACCATCACCTGTAGCCTAGCCTACATCAAAATTTGCTAGGCCTTGTTCTCAGTCTGTTCGTACAGCTTTAGAAATGTCTTCTAGCCTATCGTTGCATTCGGCCAGCTTTCAAATATTCCAGAAGAAAACCTGGTCTCTAGTTGATTTTGTGTTTAGAAGCAATCTTATAACAATGTGTGGACCGATGTCGTTCCTCTACCAAGCACTCATGGAGTTGCATTAACATCGCCATATGGAGGTTCAAATCCACCAGTTAATGTAAGCTAGTGGAGAATCTTGAGATTCTTAAAAAACATATTCTTCCAAATTCACTACAATAATTTAGAGAACATTTGTTCCATCTGATCGAATAAATTGGACTGTGCAGTGGGATGATTATACTCCAGTAGATTACACCAGTCCATCGGTTGTGAAAGATCAAATTACCGACAAAAGACCATTTTGGGCGGATGATCCAGATCCGTAAGTGAAGAAAATATGTCTCTTCTTTTGCGGTAAATGTTACGTCCCGTAACTGTATGTGTTTGTAGAAAACAAGTTCAACATTATAACAAACTCGACGGAGAAATAGATCGTACTAGTTTTCACGGTGTATATTATGTGGATGAACATACAAACCGACCACGTAATCCAGTCGGAAGAACTGGAAGTAAGACGAACAATTCCTGTAATCATGCGCAAAACAACATCGTTATCTAAGGAGAGAAAACTATTGAATACACGGTGATTTTTTGTTAAAACAGGTGTTGATAATTTTACTGAAAGTACAAGCATTTTTCGCAATTAAAAAGAAAAATGTTTGTATTCAGTTAATGCTACATTTCATCCTGTCATTAGAGCAAGTTCAAACATAATTTTAACGAGCCACAAAGGCGAGTTTTGTGATATCTGGCTATGCAAGCTGGTTGAGATGCTCAAGTCATATCAAGATAAGGGCGGATCNAATAAGCAGGAAATATTTTTCTTGTTATTGATTCTAACTTAAAGCTTTGTTGTTTATTATTCAGTGACACAACGGGGAGGTCTCGGTCGATGGGGACCGAATCACGGTAGGTATCATTTATTATCCTTATGTTTTTTGGACGATAATCTTTAATTAACTGAGACTATTGGCTGTTCTTTTTTCAACGTCCGTCCGGCTTAGTAAAATGGATCATTTTTGTGATTTATGTGTATTTCAGCTGCCGATCCAATTATAACCAGGTAAATGAAATACCTAATCTTTAATCTTATTTATAGAGCTGTCAGCATCCCTATATTGTTTTGCGCTGATCCGACTTTTAATCAATATGGGCACAGCTGCAACGAATAGATACGAAAATCATTGGAGTAGAAAAATATTGTGGTTATGAAAAGTTTTATTTCCAGTACAAGAGCACGTCTACAAATGATGAATTGATAGTTCATTTGTTAAGTTTATCTATTATCTCTTTTCGAAGATGGGCAGAAAATTCGGATGGCACATTGGTGAAAAAAAGACAGGGGATAATGGACAAAAAAATGTTGGAAGTTATTTTTGTAACAAGAAAAGATACTGGTCAGCTTGCCATTCCTGGGGTGAGTATAAACAGCAGTGTGGATAAAAGACTAATTAGTAACTGGGAAAACAAAAATTAAACATTCAGACAAATATTCTGGCATGAATATACTGTTATAGCAGTTAAGTGCACCATAAAAAGTATTGAAAGTACACTGGGCGTAGCGTTATAAGAAAACACGATCAACATAGATCTATTGCCTCGAAGTAGAATAGAGAGATCAACCATCAGAAGCGGACGACTGAAACTTTTTCTGAACATTTATTAAATAGGGAAACTGAACTCAAACACTTTTATCAGAGTCTACAGAAAACATCACTTTGTACAGTTATCATGTAAAGTCATTCATAGTTAGTTTTGAAAGGATTTCGTTTGAAAAACTATCAATAAGTAAAATGCCACGTCTATGAAAACTCAGAAAATACTATATGTAACTGTATCAATCTAACCCATATTTAGCCCATAATGCAACCTGATACAAGGTTATATGAAAAACCCATCTTCTACTCTATACGTACAAGAAGTTGAAGAAATCATAGTTATGCAGAGAACTCTTTTCTCCCTTATTAAAGGTAACCCCTTACCGGTCAAAATGCTAATGTACGAGATCGAGTAAAAAGAATTTTAATAAACATTTTGAGAGGAATGAATTGAGTAGAACTATTGATAATTAACTATTTGAAGTAGAACTATTTGAAGTTGAGGCGTAACGCTGTTCAAGGGAATCCGGAGTCTAGAATAGGGCTGTGACAGTTACCGGTTACTGTTACCACCATTACTCGGTAACTGTAACTGCTGAACAGTTGACGTTCTTGGTAACGGTAACAGGTAAGCAGTTACCGTACAAGTAACGGTAACTGTTCAGCATATCTTTCAACAGTCAAATCTCTAGATATCTAGGTATCCAGGGTGAAAGTTCGTAGCCTCACCCTGGATACCTAGATATTTAGAGATTTGACTGTTGAAGATATGCTGCCGTTACCAAGAACGTCAACTGTTCAGCAGTTACTAGGCATGCACCAGTTTTTAACTAGTTTTGGGGCATCCGGGAGAACAGCTGTCAGTTATCACGATTCTCTCAGAGCTGTAAAACATCTAATTTTGTTTGTAGGGTCTGATTTGTGAACATCTGCAATTTACATAATATATCTAGATGTATATCTAGATGTTCAGATATTCTGATATTCAAGTTAGATATTTAGATATTCAGATGTTATAGAAATGGGGAAAAGGGAACGTGGGGGTGGCAAGGGAAGATGAGAGTGAAGCGCTTCCTGATCGCCACCGTGAAAGAAAAGAGGAAGATATCTGAATATCTGAACATCTAGATATTATGTAAATTGCAGATTTTCACAAATCAGACCGGTCTCAATTTTGTAGAAAAATGTTTGCTCTACAAAATGCATTTGTTAAAAGAATTCCAGAATCATTTCTAAGAAAACTTAGAGCATTCTAAAATGTACTAAATTACGAAAAAAAAACCTGTTCGAAC